GCCCTCCTACCACCACCACTCCTCCCCCTCGTACGGCTCCTACTACCCCCACCCCTACTGGAACCGCCACTACGACCGGAACGGCGGCGCGCTGGACGGCGGTCGAAAGAAGCGTCGGCGGATAGACGATATGTACGAGAATAACAGCATCAATTTGTGGCTTGTTTGAGTAAAGTTAGCATTATTCTTCTGAAAATTATTTTCGATTTTGACCCGCTACCTGTCTCACGTTTCTCTGACCTGACCAAAATGGCCTTGTGTCGTCAGACTCACTGCCAACAATGAATGTGCCAAAACAAACCCCCGTAGAAATTGATAAAATCTTGTATTGTTTTCTGGACTAATTCGTGGCTGTTTCTAATTTATTTATGTCAGTGAAGACTATTGAATTCAATCTGTAGTGAACCGAATGTTCTGCTTGCAGGGTGGGTTCCCTCGCCCGCAGCCTAGCGTGAGCCATCCAGCCCCGCCAACAAAGACAGAAGTCGTGACGATATCAGGGTCTGACTGGTCAGAGATGCGGCAGGAGCCAGATTCAGATGAGCAGTTATCTTGGCCTACAGTAGACCGAGGATAGATGTATTTTTTATGGTATATAATCGAATTGTACAATGTTGTATTTAATTCAAATGTTTTACAATGCATTGGCTACGCTTCATTTACGTGTACAACGTGGGAGGACGGCACAGAACAAATGAAGTGCAGCCATTGACAAGGTATATCAAAGTACGGAAGGGTTACGGTGGGTGGCGGGCTTTTTCTGGTAATACATAAGAGAAAACTTTGTACGCTTTACACACGTTGGCTGCAAATGTTAGAGCTCTTTCTTAACACGAGTAAAGAACTACAGTCTGTATTGCATTTCAAAAGAGATAATAAACTTTTTGTACTTGACTATTTGTTCTCTTTTTTTACAAGTTGTGACATAAGTAACAATCAAGCTGAACGAGAGTCTTGGAGCATAAGTGAGCTAAGCCTCAATTTTTATCTTTAAAACATTTCTCTTGAAACTCACACACACGAAAAACATAACAAAAACAAATATAAATAAATAATAAATTAAGTAATAAATATTATAAATAGAATAAATAAAAATGTTCCTAATTCTAAAACAAAAAAGCACGTCGTCTAGTCAGATTCAAAAGTGTTACTATCTTGTGGTGGGTTAAGTCTTTTCATAGTGCTGTGTGGTCTTTAGTGTTGTAAACTGTCCTTGTCACACATCATAACGACACAGTCAATAGTATAATGAAAACATAATGAAAGAGATCACGGTCAGATAAGAATTATGCGCGTAACGTAACATATCCTAACGCTCTAGTCATAGAGAGTAACGCTCTCGTAGTATGTCTTGAGGAATGTCGATTTCAGTTGATATCGGTTTAGGTTTCGGCTCTTTTGTTTATCACAGTCTGCTTTCGCAATACGAGTAAAGTCAATCATAAGTAAGGAATTGATTAGTCATGTCTTTTCTCAGTTGAAACTAAGGTACTAAGTGAGGTCGATTCGCATAGAATGACTCATGACTCAAAGTGCGTCTATAAACAAAAATCTCTCAATAGTTTCTTTGTGCCGTTTGTACTAAATCGTCTAGAACTTCTTTGTAGCGTCACTAACCACGTCACAACTGCCTCAATACAAGTCTCACAGTAAAAATCCCCTTAAAAGAGCCAAAAGGGCTGACCTTGTCAAATGATATGGTAATATTTACGCCCAATGAAACCACCGGCCCTAGACCCACGAGGCGGCCAAACCTTTTGAGCCGCAGTCCCTGTCAACGTCAACAGTAGTGACGCCGACTGGCTACCGCGGCCTCATCGGCGACCTCGTGTAGATCCGCTCCCGACCCCTACGCCCCGCTGGCGTTGATGGCGTTGGGGGACGCCGCCGCCGCCTGGGCGTTGTAGGCCATGTACTGCGCCGCGCTGTCGTCGGCGAACGAGCGCCGGTCCCAGCCGCCGCCGCCACCGCCACCGCCGT